AATTACATTGGTTAGAATGAATAAAACGGTCTTAGCTTTCCATCTTCAAAACAATATATTATAATGCTGCTCATTTATTATTTCTGCTATATTTTTTATCCTCTCCCATATTTTTCAACCATTAAGATTACTTAATGTTGCAAATTTAATTTGTATATTTTGAGACACATACACACATATTACTAGAACGTAGACGTAAACACTTACATGAAGGTGAAATAAGCATATTTTCATTATTGATACGAACAACCTTTTGATGAACAAATGCAATATTTTACTTGACAAATGTACCCCATAAGTTAATCAATCAGCGACAGAAATAAAAAAATTAGCGAAAATACGAAAAATATGTCAGCGAAGCAATCTATTTTGAAAATTGATAATTTTAGTATTATATAAAGTAATAACATTGATAGTATTTATGATAGTTATAACTTGTTATTACAAGGACTTCAGAAGAATTGTGTTAACATTATAAAATAATATAGTAACAGATTTCAACGGAAATGTAGACATATATGTTAATATCTTATTGTCGTTATTATTTTGGATAATAATGACGATAAAACATAATTAAATTAAAACAATAATGTTAATGTAATTATATATATGAATTTATAGTTCATGTTTGTGACCCATTTCATCTTTACTTTTGCTACCTTTAGAAGTTTTCTTTTTCACTTTTGCATCTTTCTTACTTTTCTTCTGCTTCGTCTTCTCATCTTCATCGTCTTCATCATCACTTTCTTTTTCTTCTTCTCCATCAGACTCTTCTTTTGGTTTACTTTTAGTACTTTCATCGTCCTTCAAAGCTAATTCTAATTAAAAAATTCAAATACTAAGTCAATCACACTTAAATAAGTGAACAGATAGAAAAACTTTTACTTTTTCATTTTCCTTCAATAATTAAATTTTAACATCAAAAATTGTATTATTTCTTCATTGCTTTTTAATGAAAATTAACTCACATGTGGTGTTTTGTTAAAAGTTTTCAAAGTATGCTTCATTTTTTGAATAATACTTGATAATCGAGGGAAGTAATGCTTATTACGTGGATATTTGCTGTTTTCTGTTCCTTCCACAATATCTCCATTTGTATCTATTCAAGAATGTTGAACTTCATTAAATTCAATGTAATTAGATTATTATAAATAAATTCATAATTTTTGAAAGATGAATGTGCACATTCTTCTAAAAACTTTATGCAAAATTATGCATTTAATATTCAAATCTACTTCATAACTTCATTTAGTGCTATAAATATTTAGACATCAGCCTAAACACTCTACAGTATCAAAAATAATATTTAAACAAAATACGGAAATTTGTTCTTGATATTTTTACTCTTACCTTCCCAAAGTTTATTCATATTCGTTAGTTTTTGACCTAAGTGTAATCGAAATATTACATTTGCAACATTCAGATTACAAAAAAAGTAAGTAATGAGTCATATCAGCGACAATCTATCACTTTGATGTAAAAATTTTGCATCTATTTTGCAATGGTTTAAACAATTACATGCTTATGCAGTTGATATAAAATCAAATAGAAAAATGTAGATTAAAAAAAATGGATTTTTGTAAAGTAATTGAACAAATCTTTTAATTACTTTGATTAATGATAAAAAATTAAATCATAATTAGTATAACAAACCAAGGAAAAATATTCGAGGTATGTAAGCACCATCAGGAGCGTATTTTTCATCTTCAGGTTCTTCATCGTCTTCAGTATTTGTCATTACAAATTTTTCCGCTAATTCTACCAATTCATCACGATGTTTGGAACTTTTGAATTCATTTTTTAGTGCTGCAATAATTAATTTTCTCAGATTATTTCCATCAGATTATCATTATTTTATTTTATTTTTTAAAACTTTTTGTCATTAAAGAAACGATATCAGTTGTAAAAAATTTTTCCATTAACAGGATATGCACTTCGTTGACATTTTTCTGATAAAATTATAACACAAACTAAAGACACTACGTGTAAAAGTTACTTGTTAAGATTTCAGATCTTCTTTTAAATGATAGTTTTAATTAATAAAACAGTTCGAAATGGTGAGATATGAAACTGTAATATTAGCTTTGAAATATAATATTATTAAATTTTTCCAATATAGGAGCTGATATTTGAAGATAGTAGTCTTGATATATCGCAGTTATGTTGATGGCATATAAATTGAAATATGTCAATATAAGATATAGTAATATTTTATTTTAAAACGCGATTTCTTCACTTTTATTCATTTGTTAAACCACAGTGTATATATATTTTAAAAAATAATTCATAAATTATTAACAAAATACCTTGACATGCTCCACACCAAGTTTTATGAATTAATAGAAATACTGGTTTATTAAGTGCTTTTGCTGTAGGCAAAGCTTTATCCCACGTTGTCCAGTTAATGTCATCACCAAAACCTGCAAAAAACTTTTTTATAATAATTGTAATCAAAAGCGTTTCTTTATTTTCTTCAACTAAGTGAATTTTTTTTAATGAAAAATGATTCAAAACTGTGCAGTTAATACGAACAATTCTAGAAAATTCAAACATAAAACTTGATTTTTGTCTAAAATTTAATAGTTCTAATAAAAAATATAAAAAAATAACTATCAAATCAAGCAACCTCTACCAGGTCCTTCTTCTACTTTCGTATTATTGTCTCCTTTGTTGCTTTTACCATAAATGATTGCACAAGATGCAAGGCAAACTGCTTTTAGCAGCCAAATTTGCATATTGATCTGGAGAACTAATAATTTTGTGAAGCATGAAATAAATACAATTTGAATGAAAAAAATTTCGAATTATCTGCTATAACAATTACAAGCAATATTTAAAACTTCATCGAATTCATATATTTATAATTGAAATTGTAACTTTTATCCCACAATACAGTAAAATTCATATTAGTATTGAAGTTAATCTTCAAATTGTATTGTAATGAATAGGCCGAGTTCGACAAATAAAGTTTGCAAATTCGATTGAAACATAAATCGCAATTTTTGATAACCGATTACATTTTGTTTAATTCATAACTTTGAACCTTGCTTTAAATAATTTAATTAATTAAAAACCTTTTCAGTTTTTTATCATAAATAAAAATAGCTGAAATAAAGATATGAGATATCGTAATGAGGAAATATGAGATATTTCCTCATTACAATAATAATAATTTTAGAATCAACTTAATAGCTGTTATCATGTAAACAAACCAAAAACTTGAGAAATCAGTGTTCCACATAACAAAATAATTTTCAGTTTATCGACAGTCGCTTAAAGAAAAATTTAGGATTTTGACCTCTCAAGCTCTACTGTTCTCGAAATTGTAGGAAATTATTATTAATTAGAAGAAAAGAATAGAGGAGAAAATTTGCTATCTACTTCGTCTCAATTTATTTCCTTGTAATATGGGTCAAATGATCAATAGTTACACGTATCACCTTAATTATTTCTATTTTTATTTTATCCTTAGAAAGGATTACAGTTTAATTATGGATTAAAATATTTTTTAATTTCTAATTGAAATTTCTCATTTCAGGTTTCCTTTTTGTGACAACTGGTTTCATATGAATTGAACATAATAAAAGTTGCTAATTTTAATGCGCCATGGAGATAAATTATATTTTATTCTAATTTTTTCTTCAAATTAAATCACTTATGTCTCCATTTGAATGTATTGAACATTATTAATTTTGTATTTCTGGCCTTGTTTAATTTTAGAGATAAATTAGCTTTACGTTTATAGTTAATATAAATGAAGTAACATAATGAAAATAAATTTACAAATCATTGCACTTCAAGTTTATTTTAAAAATATAATATTAAAAAAATCAAAAAATTTGAAGAAAAATTACTTTGTGCAATTATACAAAAATAAATTCAAATACCGAAGCAAAAAAGTTTTTTTCCAAACTGAATAAAAAAGAGAGAGAGGAAAAAATAAAATAAAACAACAGTAAAATGACGTAAAAAGTAGACAAAATGCGTTACTATAACCGGTATTTCCTAGTGAAATTAGTGCAAAAGTCATTGTAAAATGTTGAGTTCAAAGTAAGTGATTTATTTTCTCTAAAATGCAAGTATTTATATATTTTTTAATGAAATTACAATGATCTTATCACAAATTAAATCACAGAGTATTCATTGCTACGAAAGGTAAAAATAAGCTTGATGAACCTTAGCTTAATATTTCTGACTGTTTTCAGAAGCTAAAAATAATTTATATACTTACAGTCACTACTTAAGATATTCCATTTGTTTATTTAGTTTTCATTTCTAGATTTTTAAACATATTCAATTTGAAAATTTCAATTTTAGATATATTCAAATCTTCATAGCGAATGATTATAATTGCACAGAAATAAATTAAGCAACTGAGCAAACAAATCAGAAGTGAATAAATTATAAAAGTTAGATCTTACATGGAATATCGAATTTTTGAAACTTTTCAATATTTCGTATCAAAGACCGAGTTTATATTATATCCACAAAAAAATGTGAATATGAATTGGTTTGAAACATCAGAACATTCTTACATTAGTAACTTTTATAATTTGCGATTAAAAATCTTAATGAAATTAATTTCAGTATGATATAAGAAAACAAAACGTTACTGAATTATACATGTTGAAGGACTGACATGAAATCTATAACTATTATTTTTTCAGAATGTGATCAAAAAATCATACATATATAATAGCCTTACAATAACTATTGAAAAAAACTTTTTAGTGAAATAATAAGAGTTTACTTTATTAAATCAGTAAACTAAAGTGATTTAAATCTATTCTGAAAAAATAAACTATCAGCAGTAAATATACGCTATCAAATTTTAGATACGTTACAAATATTTGCAATAATATCTTTTCAAATTAATTCCACACAATGCTACGTTTCAACTGACTACATTTTATTACCAAAATTGAAACATAAGACGTGTTTTTGTCAAAATTCCTAATAATTAAGCAGTGTGGAAATTACTTAATATGAATATTATTTAGTAATCTAGATACTTTATTCTGACTAAAGTTGTGTTTTTCTTTTGCTTTTTAAAAAAAGAGTAATATGATTTGGTAATAGCTACTTCCTTTTGTCAGATTCTATAAAAACGCATTACGCTAAATGCATCACAAAATTTTAAAGTAGAATAAGTTAGCAACGACAAGTAATTTGAAATTTGTGTAAAAAAGTATCAAAAATTATGATTATGCTAACATCATAAATATTTTGTAGCTTTAATTCATCTAATTCTGTTGCAAATGAAGTCTAAAAATTATGCTAGAATAATACACAATAACACGATAAACATGCGTGAACCAGTGTAACAATGTTATCAATTATTAATAGATCAATTAATTTAGTTCATTTACATTTGAAATTTTTGTTTCAAAAAAAAGAATTGCACAAGGAGAAATGATGATGTAAAAATATTGCAGCAGAAACTTTTTAAACAAAAATTCTGAATATTTCACTTCTGCATAGTATATTGAAATAAAAGAATCCTTCCACTTTTATTTTTAGTCACCGTCCCTTATTTTCGGTTCTTAGAGCATTTGATAGTTGTAGTTAGTACGTTGTCAGAAATATAACACTAAAAATTTTGTTGTGAACCTAATAATAACCCAAATATGGTAATACAATTACCTTAGTGTTTAACTGTTAGTTCAAAGATTTGAAAAATTAACTTTTATGGCATAGAGTAGATTTAATTAAGCACAATTTTAATGAGAAGTTTGATTTTGAATTTTGTGTTTAACAAAATTTTTATAATAAAACTTCAACTATAAGTCAAAAAAGGATTAGAAATGGTAACAAATTTACCAAGTAATCTCAATATTTTTGAACACTTAACAAAACTCAACTAACTTCAATATTTTTGTAAAAGTTAGTTTTTATAAAATGAAAAGCATAAAATTTTACAGACTAGTTTTACTAAAAAATTACTCAATGTAATAAAAAGTAAAAAATTAAGAAAACTGCCGAAAACTTATATGACAAAAAGATCAAAAGCTAAAGCTAAAAAATACTTAATAAATGTAAAAGTTCTACTTAGTATCTAATCAAGGACGTAATTTAAATTTATTTCTATAAATCTTGAAATTGAAAAATCATTGCAAACCAATACAAACTGCTACAGCAATTTGACGTATATAATAATGAATTGCATTAAATATTACATTCATATATTTTTCCAAAAGTATTATTACATCGAAAAACCCATAATGACTGAAATATAAAAACAAGCATTAAGCTATTTCAAATTCTTTGTCATTTTCTTTACTAATTAATAAAAAATGAAACAAATTTTTCGATGGCTGAAAAATTGAAAGAAGAAGTTTTTACGCTCAATGAAGTGAAAACTTTACGTGCTGACTGATTCTATCAAGTGAGAAATGAGCGATGTATCAAAAAAATACAGATAAAATGTTGTTAAAACAATGGCAGTCTTTCTTCTTCATACAATTCCATTTTAAGTGCTTTCATTAATCCACAAATAACAAATTTTGTTGTGCTAAATGTGGCAAATATTTATTAATATTTTAACTCTTCAATGAATATAATATTTTGATATCTATAATACAGAAATTAACTCAAATCAATTGCAATATTTTAGACCAAAAATGAGTGAGATATGTAAGTTATAATATAACATTTTATTTAATAACTTACTACATAATTAACAAATTATTTTCATTATTAACAGTTATTATATCAGTAAGCCATTGAAAGATTATCTCCATAGAACAGCAAATTGAATTGATTCTATGGCAACTGGCGATTCTCATCCATCCTGTACGGTAGAAATGCTCGTATTGTCTAAAAATTTACAAAATCACAGAATTTTGAAGTATTAAATTACTGAAATCATTCAGTAATTACAAAGATATAATGAATGTCATGAAAGTGAAAAAATTGAGAGAGAAAGAGAAATAATGCATAGAATGTGGACAAACGCAAATACATCTAAAAATATTTACATTTACAGAATCCTACAAATCTTTACTATCAAAATTTATTACTTTGTCAAATAGCAATATTGCTGCGCTGCAAATTTACAATCATAATGCCATAAGCATATGTAATATTTCAATTTCTTGTAATAGTTCCTCATTATCTAATCAATTATTTCTAAGTTATTCACGTCTTTTTAAAATATGATTATCTTTTGAAGTTAAAATGCAAAAACAATTAACTACATTTTTTGCTATGCTAAATTAATAAAACAAATGATAATGAAAAAGAATGATGGAAAAAAATTCTCGAATCTGCAGATACTTGCTGTGAATATTGTCGTCTCAATTCATCAATTTTTGTGACATCACAGTGCAAAAAGTACGCTTGCGCACCTTTTTGAGCGAATGTTCATAAAACCATTTTGCTACAAAAAACGAAACAAAGTCGAAATTATACACTAAAAAAGTCAATTATGCAAAAAATTTTATTTATTGCTGTGTCATTACGTTTTATTCACTTTTTCTTTTTTTTTGAACTTTTGATTTTATTATAATTTTAAAAATTGTTTTAATCAAACTTTCTCCGTGAAAATTCCTTTTTTAGATTTTTAATATGGAATCAAATTAATTATTAATTTTACCTTGCCATTTTCGTATCCTACATAACATTCCATTTGCTAACATGATTATTCTTAAAAAATTGAACTCTTTGTCACTGCTATCTTTCTTATGACAGTACATGGCAAAAACTTAAAAATCTAACTAATATTCAAAATACAAACGATGGCATTTTGATCTACTGCAAATTTTATTGTTCATCCTTTACCAATGATCGTTGCATCCCTCAGACCTTAACCTAAACGAAACAGAAGAGGACATTATTACTGTTTTCTTACTTTATCATTGGTACTTTTTCATTATTTGAAATTATTTGGATGTAAAAAACTTTTAATCTTATTCAAAATTAACTTCTCTCAGAATATTCAGTTCGTTAAGAAATGAACAGTGATAATATACCTGACCCGATACAGTTTCCCGTCTAGCTGAGCTATATCTCGGAATGAAATGCAGACAAGATGTTTTAGCGACAATTTAGAAACTAGAAATAACTGCTTTGGAAAATTTTATCAGTTCATCAAATCTAAACGCAAATTGAGTCAAATAATACAATAGCTGAAAAATTGATTCATTTAAGTTTGATTCATTGAAAGATCAACAAGTGTGCTACATTTTCAGGTTGAAAATGTTACTATCAAACTTCATAATATTATGCACAACTACATTTGCAAATCTAAAAATGTTTCAGCAGTTCAGATATTATTCACGACAGCATTTGATAAATCTACCATCTAAATGATTTTAGTAGTTTGCGTATCTGATAATATCCACACATCGTTTATATAAGTATTAAAAAAGTTATTATCACATTGTGTTTTACTTGTGCATTGACAAACCATTCTGCAAGTCATTGATACTTTGCAAGTTACAATTTATTACTTATGAATCAGTTTATAGCTGTATTATTCGTTCGCAGCAATGCAAATTAATCACAAGTAATGAATCTTATGAATCTTAAAATTTATTCCTTAATCACAAACACTGCCTTCCTGAATGCAGCTTTAAGATGTAGTCAATACTTTTAATATTTTATGCAAAAAATTCACTCATCAATATTGCTTTATCAGATACGTATAAAAGGTTTAGTTACGTAAAAAGCCAATTTTTGAGCAAAACTTAAAAGTTGAGTGGAATTCAGTAAACAATTAATACTTTTCAATGAAGTCTTGACAACCCATTAAGTAAAAATGTCTGCTGACTCAAATCTACGATTTGTTCCATAAAATTGTTTTAAGACTATGAATTTGCTGATAAAACAAGCTCACTAAATTCTGTCAAGTACTGCTGATGATTTTAAAGATGTATTTAAGACTGAAGTACTATGATTCTAGATTTGATTCCAACATACTAAATCTGAGTCTCATATAAAGAGATCAAAATAATTACTAAGCAGCAGTAACTATCAGCTCTATATCTGAATTATAGATCTGTAAAATTGCTATATTTCTGAATATTATTCTGTATTCTCTAAAATTAAAAACAAATCTGAAATTATCATAAATTCCCATTTTAGTCGCTAAATGCACCCAAAAGTTTATCCACAATCAGAATTACAACTATCCTGAAATCTTATAAAAACTGGAACAATTAAGAATTAGTGCAAGAAATACAGATGTAATTCCTTTTCCGAATCAAACCCTTCGCACATTCACTTTTGATGTGCTTCATACACGTTTAATTTCTCATTTATACTGTGCATTTTTTCAAGTAAATTTAATTCTTTATTATGGAAACCTGAACGTGTGCAACAATTTTCTTGCATTTAAAAGGTAACGTAAGTTGTATTAATTAAAGAACGCACTCACTTCCTATGTAACAACCCAACTATTCCCAAAAATACTTCTGTTATCATTACTCACGGCATATTACATACTCTGAGCCAACCCCAGTTGTTAACAACAATGCTTCAACCGAAATAATCGACTTTTATTCAAAGTTCCGCGCATCTAGAAAAAAAAAGAGGATAATCCTCAATCAGTCAAAAATGATTTTCCATCAGTTCTTCATCTAAAAGTCAATGTCTACAATTATGTACACGAATTTCTTTCTCAAGCACCATTACTCCAATTCCGTTCAAATCTTATCATCCAATCTTAATTTCTTGAAATGCTTGCACTGTATTTGCAAACAGAAAACATGATCAAGGATAAACAACTGAAGAATACTTCAGTATATTTAGGACACAAATGCAGACTAAGCAGTTATTTTTTCTAGTACTACTCTTAATTAATCACTAATGTAAAAAAGAGAATTTGTATCCTAAATATATAAAGCTAATCTCTGTTTAAAAATTAAAACTACTCCACCACCATTTCTGATGTTTATCACAACTAAAATTTCCGACTACTTGAGTTCTTGACACTCCTCAATCATTTTTTCAAATTTTTACGAATTTCAACAAATACAGCACTTTATAAAATATGAAGAAACATACTCTTACCTGCAGTATGCAAAGAAAAATATGATTTCAAAAGCTATTAGAAACGATAAAAGCAATATCAGACTTCAAACCAAAATGCATGAAATCTAACCCTACAATTACACCAACTACTGCAGAAAGTTTGCAAGATACCTTAGCTAATATATATATGACTTAATCTACTCGGACTTCGCATAAATATCCCTTAATCATTTAAAAACTTGAAATTCTATCTACACCACTAAGATTTTGACACTTCCAATTAGATGTAAAATACTTTCAAATCACGAAGTGAAATTGAACACTTCCTGAAACTTTTTTTGGATTTCGTTGAGAAATATCATGATAAGATAGTAAGACTTTGTGAAAATTAAAAACTGTAATATTTTAATAAAAATTGTGTATTTATAACACTCGCTATAAAAACAATAACCGACGATTTGTATAGTAAATTCTTACATTGCATTTTAGAAAACATAAATAATATTTATGCAGACAAACAAAAGGAATATGGCCTGTAAAGTAAAACTGAAAATAAAAAGAGTCCTATGGCACTGATGACAGGGTAAATTTTTTTAAAGTGAATAAATGTTTTTCCATAACATCAAATAAATTTAAATCATAAACAGAAAACTTGATCAGAAAAATCAAGAAAAATGAGGTTATTGATAATTGCTATTAAATAATATTAAATTGATGCATTTCAAATTTTCTAATCGCGGTATAATAAATTTTACCCTGTTTAAAGTAAGAGAATGATGTAGAAAAAGAATGCATCAATCGCATGATTAAAAATGATAAGTTTTAATTTATTTCATTTGTTGCAAAAAAAAGCTTTCAAAATGCATAGCAAGTCAGACACAGAATAATACATAGTAACCAAATCTCACTACAAAAAAAAAAAAAAAAAAAA